CTGCAATAAAGCACCAACCAGTGACTGCTCCAGAGAACACCTGGCCCCTTTGTGACCCCAAAATGTCCAATTTAGGTGGTTTTGGTCCCAAACATATTAGTCTCTACTGTCTCATAAAATAAACCAGGATACTTGCTGCCCAGGGTGGCTCTGACTTTGCCTTTCCTGTTAACAGATGTAAAATCCACAGCACTACATTGCAAGAAAATAAGGCGAACCATTTTTATCCATCCTTTGTAGATTAGAGCTGACATACTCATAATGGTAACTCTGGAGCGAAGTCCTATAGTGTAATGAAGAAAATAACTTCCTACTTAGCAATATAAATAAAATTTTCTTAAATATAAAAAGAAACCAATAAGACTATCCATGATTAACTTTCTACAATTATAACCAGGTCCCAGTAGTTTAGAACAGTCTGTAGGGAAATGATTGTCAGAAACATTACCAAGACAAATCCACAAGATGTGAGTGGCGTGAACAAAGAATGAAGAGGCATTGCAATACCCATCCAAGTGCTATAATACTACAGTGATGTTTTGAGGTTTACATTCGGTGATTTAACATTTCATTTCCACAAAAAGGCTTGAAAAAAAATGACAATACCACCAGCTTTTGATTATTCATGGATTCCTTTTCTAGCCCACGGATTATTCAGGTTTTTGTGTTTCCTCTTCCTGAAGCTGTCTTTCCAAATCTTTTCACTACTCATGAACAGTCATAAATAGATAGGCAAGAGAAATCTTTTTTTTTTTTAATTAATATGCATCCCTAGAAGAAAAACAGTTTGATAAGAATAAGGACTCAAACTCCTAAACACAATTAGATTTTTGGTTTACTATGACTTATTACTGGATTAACTATCCGGTAATCTCTAGGTCTTTCCCCATGGAAAAATTAAGGGTTGGTTGTAATATGAAAGACTACTTAATGACAGATTTGAACTCATAGCTAGCTTAAAAAAAAAAATCTACTATTTAGATTCTCAACTATTTGCTCACCCAAAATATCATTTTCCATTCTGTAATTTTTCTTTACCTTCCATTGGCATATAGGTTTCTCCATGCTATTTGTATGTTTTAACACCAACGACAGTCTCTGAAGTTAAGTGTGAACTGCTGGGGTGGTCGCCTCTGGAGTCACTGCGCCTGCCTGTGGCCAAGCAATGCTCTATCACTGTGACTCATGGAGACCAAAATCCAGCAGGGAGATCTCAGCCCTCTCTCCTGTGTGAATCCAGGCAGATCAGCCGAGACCAGGAAGTGCTGAGATTCTACAAGCTGCTTGCATAGAAACTGGAACAGTTTTATTTTCTTTTCCCTTGACAAAAATGTATACTCTCTAAACATCCTTTGATCTCACTTTGCAAAGAAAATGCAGATTAGGACTTTTAATTTGGTTCTGTACAGTGGCATATTGCTGCTTCCCTGGTTGCCATACAAAAACACGGATTCTCTCTTTACTTTCCCTAGTGCAAGCAGGAGAACTCCAGTTACTGATAAGGAAAGCACTATCAATGCTCTCGGACAAACATGTTTTGCCAACAGGAGAGAGAGAACATGTTGATAAGGAATCAAAGACGGATAGGGCAGACCAAATACACATCTATTTACAACTCACAGACCTATTTTCAAAAATTAACTCACACATCTGTTGGTATTTTTCACTCTAGAGACTGCTGAAATGACTGCACTTGAAAACAAAAGCATCTTACAGAACAGTCTGCTTGACATGTACATTAAACAATATTATGTTCCTTTGGAGAACAGTGATGGCAAAAGTGGCCCTAAATCACACTGACGTATGCATTTCTTTTTTTTTTTTTGGATGGGAGAACTGGCCACTCTATCTGTGGTTTGCTTAGCAATGACAAAAAAGGTCTATCGGCTAGGACTATGCATGCCAGACTCCACAGTGAGCTACTTATCCCCCCAGCTGGCTGACTAATCTCTCAAGGGAACAATTTCGATTCATCTTGTCTAGTAGTGTTTGCTGGGTCTCAAACAGAAGCATCTTTAAGTTTCTATCCAGCTTCCTATCATCCTTCATACCTTTAACTGAGATTGGCTTTACCTAATTACTGTCACTGTAAAACACATATAACAAACTGCTCAGATTTCCAAAAAACTGCATCTTATAACCACCACTACCAAACCAAACATATTAACACTGTCTTCTGCATTTCACCAGTAGCTATCTACTATTCAATGAGGTATTTCAAGTAATGAAGCAGTCTTTCACCTCTGTACTGAATGGAGCTGCTGGGGGCTTTTATTTGGTGTTGCTTTGCCTTTCCCACATAACTGGGAGAAAATTCACATCTTTTCAGTTTTTGGCTTTTTTTGGTTTTATTTAAAAATAGAAAACAATAGCCTTTACTTTTAGTTTCTGGCCTACTTCTCAAAATTGTCATTTGTACAATTAATGACGACAGGGGCATCACAATGCTCATGACCAACAAGTACGCTGACTCACTAGGGTCTAAACAGTCCTATAGTTCCAAACCAAAACACAAGCTGTCTCTCAACACTGGGAGTGCAGGTGACCAGTTGACACCGTGCCAGCACTTTTTGAGGAGTGTTTGGTTCTCCTATGAGGTAAATCATATGAATATAGTGACACATTGTTAAAAAAAAAAAGTTTTCTAGAAATAGGAACTTGACTCTATCCTCTCCAAGATCAATTGAAAGAAAGTGGGAAGCCTCTTTGCTGGACTCTCCTGGTTACGCCACTCTGACACAGGCAGCTCCTTGACATGCTAAGGGAACAAACACAGGTTCTGGGGGTGTTGTGTGAGAACGTGTCACCACTGGAAGCCAGTCTAGCTCTTATATTCCTTATATTAAACGAGTCTATTTCACCTTAACTTGATCAGTTAAATGCCTTAGTTTATTTCAACCGTCCCCATATGCATTTGAGGCTAAAATGCAAAATGGAAAGAAAACAAAACCAAACAAAAAAAAGCTCTGAGTGGGACAGAAGCCTCGGCGTGGTGCCCAGTGCAGATGGCACTGGAGGGCATCAGCGCCCAGATCAACATGCAGATAGGCAGCCTCTCAAGAATTCCACTCGCTGATCATGTTCACATCTGTTTCCAACCTACAGTGCTAATCCTCTGCTGTAGATGCATCTGATAAAAGTGCATTTTGTAAAAGACAATGATCAATCTATGATATGCCTTCTATACAAAAAGATAAATCAAGTGAACCCCCCTCCCCGTACAAGGGGCAGCGTGAATGCATGTAAACATGGCATTGGACTGAGCTGGTCTTCTGGAAGAACACCTTCTAGTACCGGAATGTGTCACTGGACACTGCTTTGCCCCCCGGGGGCATGCTTGACACTGAACCTCATGGAGCTGCTGAGGACGGGGGCATCGCTGCAAACAACAGGGAAGCAGTTCTTCGAAGGTGCCAACCAGCTCCCCTCGAGGTTACTGGGAACACAGCCAGAGCTGACGGAGGTGAGGGCGCGCCCCAGCGCTGCCTAGTAGAGATGACTAGCTAAGAGGAACGGACGTGGACAGTTTTCTGAGCCTGGGAAAGATTATCACGTACACCTGGTGGCAACAGAATTTCTCTCAGATAGTCTTCTAGGATGATTTGATGATTTCCTCTTCTCCAAATGTGATGTTTGCATAAGTGGGTGGTAGAGTGTATTGTTTTAAAACATGAAAAGTCCTTAAAACATATTAGCAGGTCATTATATTATTGATCCTCATTTTAGTAGAGTTTAAAAATATCCCAAAGGGGGATAAATATTAATCCATCCATTGAATCTCCTTTGCTTGTTTTTTAATATTCTGATTTGCACATGTAAAATAATGCACACTCATGAAAGTCCAAATTCCTATGGTGACCATGACAAGTCCAAGTCAATTCCTAAAACAGGCAATGGTAAAAGTACTGAAAGATGTTGTACCACATATAGCCTGACAAAAATGCAAAAGACTGTATGAGAAATATCCACATATTGCTGAGGGTCATCTCCCGGGAAACAGCTTCGTTATGGCCCTTGTGAGGTGGAAAAGCCCCTAAAAGACAAAATAGCTCTTATATTCCTTATATTAAACGAGTCTATTTCACCTTAACTTGATCAGTTAAATGCCTTAGTTTATTTCAACCGTCCCCATATGCATTTGAGGCTAAAATGCAAAATGGAAAGAAAACAAAACCAAACAAAAAAAAGCTCTGAGTGGGACAGAAGCCTCGGCGTGGTGCCCAGTGCAGATGGCACTGGAGGGCATCAGCGCCCAGATCAACATGCAGACAGATAGGCAGCCTCTCAAGAATTCCACTCGCTGATCATGTTCACATCTGTTTCCAACCTACAGTGCTAATCCTCTGCTGTAGATGCATCTGATAAAAGTGCATTTTGTAAAAGACAATGATCAATCTATGATATGCCTTCTATACAAAAAGATAAATCAAGTGAACCCCCCTCCCCGTACAAGGGGCAGCGTGAATGCATGTAAACATGGCATTGGACTGAGCTGGTCTTCTGGAAGAACACCTTCTAGTACCGGAATGTGTCACTGGACACTGCTTTGCCCCCCGGGGGCATGCTTGACACTGAACCTCATGGAGCTGCTGAGGACGGGGGCATCGCTGCAAACAACAGGGAAGCAGTTCTTCGAAGGTGCCAACCAGCTCCCCTCGAGGTTACTGGGAACACAGCCAGAGCTGACGGAGGTGAGGGCGTGCCCCAGCGCTGCCTAGTAGAGATGACTAGCTAAGAGGAACGGACGTGGACAGTTTTCTGAGCCTGGGAAAGATTATCACGTACACCTGGTGGCAACAGAATTTCTCTCAGATAGTCTTCTAGGATGATTTGATGATTTCCTCTTCTCCAAATGTGATGTTTGCATAAGTGGGTGGTAGAGTGTATTGTTTTAAAACATGAAAAGTCCTTAAAACATATTAGCAGGTCATTATATTATTGATCCTCATTTTAGTAGAGTTTAAAAATATCCCAAAGGGGGATAAATATTAATCCATCCATTGAATCTCCTTTGCTTGTTTTTTAATATTCTGATTTGCACATGTAAAATAATGCACACTCATGAAAGTCCAAATTCCTATGGTGACCATGACAAGTCCAAGTCAATTCCTAAAACAGGCAATGGTAAAAGTACTGAAAGATGTTGTACCACATATAGCCTGACAAAAATGCAAAAGACTGTATGAGAAATATCCACATATTGCTGAGGGTCATCTCCCGGGAAACAGCTTCGTTATGGCCCTTGTGAGGTGGAAAAGCCCCTAAAAGACAAAATAAAAATATTAATTTGTTTTCTCATGGTGGCAGGCGTCCTAGAGCAAAGGTTGAACATGAGTTTAGCTAGAGTGTTTTTTGCTGCTGCTGTTGTTTGTTTTTGCTTTTGTGTGTTCTTGTGTGCTAGGTCGTCATCGCTGCTTGCAGGCTTTTCTCTAGCTGCAGTCAGCTGAGGCTACTCTTGATTGCCACGTGTGGGCTACTCACTGTGGTGGCTTCTCCTGTTGCAGAGCACAGGCTCTGGGCCTACAGGAGTCGGTAGTTGCAGCTCTCAGGCTCTTAGAGTGCTGGCTCAATAGCTGCGGCACACGTGATTAGGTGCTCCGCCACATGTGGGATCTTCCTGGACCAGGGATCAAACCCACGTCCCTTGCACTGACAGGTGGATTTTTAACCACTAGACCACCAGGGAAGGCCCTGCATTTGTTTTTGTTTGTTTGTTTGTTTTAAGCATCTCTCTGATTTCTTCTTGCTCTTAAAGAGAGATATCATTTGAGATACAGTTTTCAAACCACAGAGCCCTTTCCCACCTCTGAGCCTTTGCCTTTTTCTCTGCCTAGAGAGCTCCTCCCTCCACCTCTGTGAAAGGCAGGCTCAGGGCATTCTTCCAACATCAGAAAAACACAGTCTTGTCTCCCCTTCCCCACCAGACACTGGTATCTTCATGTTTATTTCCTTCTTGGCACTTTCCACAGTCTGTATTGATTCCAATCTACCTTTTCCTCTTTTCTACAGACTGCTTTACTTTCTGTCTCCTGCAGGAACATACACTGCATGAGAGCAGGCACTACAGCTGCCTTGTTTTCCACTGTATCCCTACAGATTTCTACAATGGCCAGGACGCAGGATGTGTAAGTCAATTAAATAATTTCCAGAGATTTCCCTGGTGGACAAGTGGTTAGGACTCTGTACCCTCTGCCAAAGGCACAGGTTCAACCCCTGGTTGGGGAACTAAGATCCTATAAGCTGAACTTTGTGGCCTAAAAAATATTTTCTTTTTCAAAATAGCATGATTTATACTAATTCTTCTATTTACAAATTAAATGTTTTTGCCACAAAAGGGGTTGTAAATTACCAATGTTGTTTAGTTGCTAAATCATGCCCTTTGCGTAGCCCACCAGGCTCCTCTGTCCATTGGATTTCCCAGGCAAGAATACTGGAGTGGTTGCTATTTCCTCTCCAGGGGATCTGCCTGACCCAGGGATCAAACCTGTGTCTTCTGTCTTGGCAGGCGGGTTCTTTACCACTGAGCCACCATGCTGCTGCTAAGTCGCTTCTGTCATGTCCGACTCTGTGTGACCCCACAGACGGCAGCCCACCAGGCTCCTCTGTCCCTGGGATTCTCCAGGCAAGAACACTGGAGTGGCCACCATGGAAGCCCTTAAATTGCTGATACTATTTTCAAAAGGCAACATGGTTTATTCCCTTTCTCAAAAGGAATATGTCAATAATAATAAAAAAATAAATAAAATGGAGAAACAAAGTAAACAGATGTCTTTAAATTCTTTTCTGTAAAGAAAAGCTAGACCACTTTGGAGCAATATTTCCTAAGGTCATCTTGAAAACACTCTTCAGCATTTCAAATAGTCTTTGTTCTTGAGGATAATCCCCTAGGGTAAGCTGATTCAAGAGAGGATTTGCTTCTCACAAACAATTTACAGAGAACACTTTAAAGTTTCGAGGTCTATTATGCAAATAGATTTCTTAAAAAGAGTTTCTATTATTGTTGCTACTATTTAGGCCAAATATTATAAAGAGATTGAGATGAATAAGAAGAGGGATCTTGCTGGCCTTTTAATCACCTGATGCCAAAAATGTTTGTTCAGGTTTACATTACATCTTACAGAAAAACCCAAACAAGCTTTTTGGCCTCCCCAGTACATCCATTCTGTCTTATCCTGAAAGAAAATCCTGGAGAGCAAGGAATGCAAAACAGCAGAGAGGGACATCTTGTTCAACTAGCCTTAGTAGGCATTTTAACAGCACAGACGATGTCCTGCTCCTGTCATATTAATATGCATGACTCCAAAGTCCCCGGATGGGAAAGTTAAGATGAGGAAGGAGTCTAACTGAGGATAAAGTGAAACAATCCTAAATACAAACACAAAAGCCTTAAAGATAATTAACAGTATCAGCCTTTGCTTATGACTATTGGGGGGCTTCCCTGGTAGCTCAGACGGTAAAGAATCTGCCTGCAATGCAGGAGACCCTGATTCGATCCCTGGGTCAGGAAGATCCCCTGAAGGAGGAAATGGCAATCCATTTTGGTATTCTTGCCTGGAGAATCCCATGGACAGAGGAGCCCAGTGGGCTATAGTCCATGGGGTTGCAAAGAGTTGGACATGACTGAGTGATTAACATTATGAGTATTAGACCTTTGATAGACTGATTTAATATCTACTTCAATTCTGTCCCCAAAAAGTCTAGGTGGGAAGAAAACTGGGCCTCTATTCATCTAAAACCCCACGGCTATCCTCAGACCCAGGACATGCTTCTCTTCATCTTCTCATCCCTGTTGCTCTGGACACAGGCGTGCAGCACGGCTGTCCGTGAAAGCCCGGGGCCTGCCGGGGCTCCAGGCAGGTGAGTGCTGCTTCCCCAGCTTCCTGGTTTCCTCCCTCGCTGCTCCTTCTCTTCTCTGCGTTTTTCACCACATTGCAGTTGTCATAGAAAGTACACAATACTGAGTACAGAAAAGGGACCTTAGAGTAAATAGATCTTTTTCTCCCTAGGAGAAAAACGTAATAAGGTTATATCTATGATGACTTAAAATGTAAACGTTATCCCTCCACATAAAGAAAAGAATAAGCATGTGAAAATGCAGTTAAAAATAATCTAAAATGACTGCATGGTGATGGTTATCAGTCAAACAATCAAGTGCAGGATCACAACATGAATGATATTTGCTATTTCATAAAATAGACCATACTATCACAGAGGTATGTCTACAGTCTTCCATAGATGTGTATTCTCTTGAATTCGATCTGTTTGTACGGTGTTCTACTCATCATTTGATTGTTCCACACTGGCTGATGAAGTAAGGGCCTGGATAAATTCCACATGCATTTATTTGTCTTTATAAAAGTTCTAAGCTGAAATTCTAAAATATGGAAATACTTTGATTCCTTTAGGGTGCCTGAAGAATTGAAAAATGGTTATCTCCCCTAAACTACATCTTTGAAACCATCAGTAACTTCAGGAATACGTGTAATAGGATTCTGTGTACCTGTTTCATAAAAATGCGATAAGAGGTCCTCTTTTTCAATAAAACGCTGATAGAGCCAGTCAGAAAGGTCATCGGTCTCCAGGGGAACATCTTTAACTGGAAAGATTCTATCAAGAGTCAGAAAAAAAGCAAAAACTACTTTAATTCAGAAGTTAAAATCATTCAGAACCACAACTTAGCTTTAGAGTATCCTATATCTACAAAAAATTATTGAGAAATAGCTGTCTTCCCATGTTTGTAGGTTTAAGTAGGAATGTTTTTTGGAACAAATGAAATTTTAGAATGCAGCTTTCTTAGAACACATTTAGAATGCTCAAACGCTAGGTCAAATAATGTATCTTAAAAATGTTCCTTTGTTGGGAATATCTATGAACCAGACAGAATCTGTGTTAATTGGTGCCCTTTTGCTAATTATATCAGAGATACTGGTTTCATGAGCAGGGCCAGCTCATGACTGAATGTAGTTGTTGGAACATGATTCTGAAGGATTCTGTGACTGTCCTCACTCAACAGGAACTGGACTGGGATGATGAGTGACACATATCCACTGCAAGTGAGAACAGAACAGGGGCCTTGAACAAGTGTTTCTTTTCTTTTTTGTTTTCCAATTTTGAGAAGAAGGTGTTCTTGATTTTTTTTCTTCATCGAAAGTATAAAGTCTGCAAAATGTTTGTATGAAAAACGCAGCCCCCTTCTTCCTCTGCCCTTTGTTTCTCCTTTCCCAGAGGAATGGATTTTTCCCTCTTATTATTTATCACTGCTTCTTCTTTAGTTTTAGGGCTTATCTACTGACAATCAAAGATGAGGGTTAAGCTCCTTTCTATTCCTATCCCACCACAGAGGCACATCTTCCCCATCTTCCCATGCACTCGTATGGTCATTTTAATTATCACAATATTTGATATTTACATTATTATAATCATGTAAGTATATTCTAAGGTAAACCAGGTGGTAAATCAAGGGTATGTTTCCTTTCCTCTCCAATTTCTGTTCTCCCCTAGATTGAGCAATTTGCATTGTTTCCTAGGTAGACATAACTAATTCAACCATAAACTATGGACCAATCAAATCTAAAATCAAATCTCTAGATCAGATAGACAAACTTTTCCTTAAGGGGCCAGAGAAAAAATATTTAGACATTGCAGGCTATTAAGATCTTTGTCACGACTATTCTACTCTGCTTTGTGTAGTGTGCAGGCAGTCACAGACAAGGTATAAATAAATTAGTGTAGTTGTGTTCAAATGCAACTTTATTTAAAAACCGGGCAGAGGGCCAGAGGGACTCGGGCCTAGATCTCCTCCCAAGGGATTCAAGTTCATTAGCCAGTCTTTCAATTTCCCCTTCATGAGGAAATTTCAGCAAGGTTCTAGAGGTGTTGCCTGTAGTTTTCATCCTGCAAAGGCCCTTCACTCTCATCCTGGTGATTCTTCATATTCCTAAAGTGGATTTAATGCTTCCTGTATCTCATGTCTTACTTTTTCTCTATTTACTCCACATTTTGATGGAGCCCACCCTCCAGTAGCTTCCTGAGAAAAGGCACTTTTAGGTTGCGTTTCTGCCGGTGTCTCTTTTTCCGTCCTCATACCTGGTTGATAATTTGACTAAATATAGGATTCAGAGTTGAAATTAATTTTCTTTCATCTGTCTTTTGTCCTCCTTTCTGAGAGACTTTTTATTTAAATTTTAAACTTTTTACTGAGTTTTACTTTTTTTTTTAACCATACTTTTAGTTTCTGAGATCTCTGTTCCTTTTTTTTAACAGAATGCTATTATTGTTACAATATTTAATCTCTATGAGAATCTCACTTCTATGAGAATTATCATGTGAATTTTAAAACATACACAGAAGTAGAGAAAAGGGTTAATGAACTCATGTACTATGAGGACTTTGGAAGCCACACAGTTTGTTTCTCACATGATCCTCCTATATTTGTTTTTGTCTCCATCTTTAAGAGTGGAGGCTGATCAGATTCCCAGTTATCTGGGGATTCTCTGTTGCTCACACACATTTATGGATGTGGGCCTACACAGTTGATTCAAAGTTCTCTGCCTGTAAGTCAAGTTTGTTGACTGTGAGTCACACTGAGGATTATCTGACTGGGCCATTTAAATTAGTCTGTCCTCTTGAATTCACCCTTTACTCATAGAATGATCCTTGAATTTCCTGCTGAGAGAGAGGAAAGGCCTTGTTGCTAGCTTTCTGGCGGCAGAGCGAAGTGAGGGCTGGGAGTCTCAACACTCAGCATACAGACGTCACCTAACCATGCTATTCTCATCTCATTATGGGATCTCTGCTTCAACAGCACCTGGGGTTCCTGAGTCCAGAGAGCTTCTATCTCCCTCTCCAGAGCAGGCCTCCAGTATTTGCCAGGGCAGGGAAAGAACAAGAGCCCAGGAATGGAATGCAGGACGGGGATTCTGGAGTTCTGGGGATCTGAGTTCTCCTTAAAAGATTTCAACCAGTCTTCCCAAGTTTAGCAATTTTCCACCGCATTTACACAGCTGTTAATGCTGCCAGCCTCTTGGCTTTTCAAAAGAGGAAATAGACTCAACTTAAATCCACTTTCGTGCCCTTCCAAAACCCCAGGAAAATACTAGAGAGGTTTTTCAAGGGTAAACTTACAAGGATGGGATGAATCTAGGAATGACAATAGCAACACAATTTGGGATGTTAGAAAACAGAGCAGTAAATAAAGTAACAGAATCCTAAGCCAGCTTTACATATATTAGTGTATGTGTCTATCTTTTACACCATGGAGGCAATAAAAAAGCCAGCTTCAAGCCAGTCATACAAAAGGCCAGCTGTTATGAGTATTATAAAAATGAATTCTTGACAGAGTTCTTTTAATATCAAAATTTATATAATCAGAGGAGTAGAGGCAGAGAGATAAAATTTCAAAAGAAGAAGAGTCCATGGGATATTTAAACGAGTTTGTTTTCCCTTCTCTTCAAAGGATAATTTCTTTGAATTATAAGAAATCCTCAAATTAGAAATAATAGTCCAAGAATTCTATTGTTTCTTTCTTCTTTCTTCTTTCTTTTTAAACTAAGAAAGCAGATTCCTATGGGGGAAGTCACCAAAGATACACAAGATCCTAAGAGTGCCTGCAGACTACTTCACCTACAGTGTACATAAAATCCTGCAGAATGAACCATTAGACAAACACATTTCTGTGGAAAAATGTTCTCAGTGTTCAACAGACAACACCAAGTTCACATTTTCTCACCCTGCTGTGTATTTGCTCGTCGGCTACGAAAGGCCTAGCACCCTATCTCAAGCCTGTATCTCCACTTAAAGTGAGTTTTTAAGAGGGATATAATTAAAAACAAAAGTCAGTTTTGTGAAGTTGTTTTTCCTAACTCCGTTCCTCCCCTAAGAAGTCCCTTTGGGTACTTGGTTGCATGAAACAGTCATTTATATGTAAGGACTGAATGTCTGTATCAAACTACTTTATAATCTTAATTTGCAGGTAGGAAGATGAATTAATGCAAATGATGACAATTTTGTTTTACGTCTTCTATATTTACACTTCCAATTTCTTTTTCTTATAATGTTGCTAAGACCTCTAGCACAATGCTGAATAGAAGTGGTGATAATGAGCACCCTGTCTTTCATTTTTGATCTTTCAGGGGGAAATATTCAATAGTGTCCCATTTAGTATACTTGCTGTAGATTTCTTTGGTAGATAACATTAATCAGATTAAAGAAACTCCCTTCTATTCTCAATTTGCTAAAAGTTTTCTTTTTCATCCTGAATAGGAGTTGCACTTTTATCAAATTTTTCCATCTATTGAAATGCTTATATAATTTCCCACTTTATTCTGTTAATGTGATTAATTATAGGGATTGCTTTTAGATATTTTTTTGATTTGTAGATTTTATTTTTGTATTACAGACACATGCCCTTTATCAGATAAATGTACTGTTAATATCTTCTATTCAGTGGGTTTCATTATTGCATACTATGGAGCCTCTTATACAATATTGTAAAAGTGCTGATAAAAAGCATCATTCTCTTAGGGAGTTTGGGATTGACACATTCACACTGCTATACTTAAAGTGGATCACCAGCAAGGTCCTACTGTATAGCACAGGGAACTCTGCTCAATGTCACGTGGCAGCCTGGATGAGAGGGGAGTTTAGGGGAGAATGGATACATGTATAACTACAGCTGAGTCCCTTTGCTGTCCACCTGAAACTATCACAATACTGTTAATCAGTTATACCCAAAACAAAATAAAAACTTTTTTTTTTAAGCATCATTCTCTTATTCCTGATCTTGGGAAGAAATATTTTAGTATATCATCCTTTAATATGGTGTTTTCTGAAGATTTTTGTAGACATCCTTTATCAGAATGAGGAAACTCCTTTAAAATCTACAAAGAGTTTCTATCATGAATAGTAAGAATTTATATTTAGTAAGTGATTTTAGTTAAAAATCCAAGCTTATTTTGAATGTTAAGCCAAACTTTCATTCCTGAAATATATGCTCTCAGTGCATAATATGATGAATTTAAAATATTTTGCTGGGTTACTCTCATAGCCATAATTATGTAAGAGATTTGCTTGTAAATTTTCCTTTCTTATAATATTTTTGGTTCAGGTTTTGGTACCCTAGTTATACTGGCCTCATAAAAGAAGCTAGGAAGTATCCTCTTTTTGATGCTCTGGAATAACTGCACCTAATATCCTTTAATTTTCTTTTTTAATGACTACAGAATCTGAGGTAATGTCCCCTTTGTCATTCCTGATATCGATAACACTGACCTTCTTTTTTTCTTTATCAGTCTTGCCAGGAGTTGATCACATTAATGTTTTCAAAAAATAAAATTTTTTGATGTCATTTTTCTTTCTATTGTATGTTTTCTATTTCAGCAAGTTCTCCCTTATTATTCCCTGTCTTCTACTATCTTAGGATTGCATTTGCTTCTTTTTTTCTAACTTCTTAAAATAGACATTTAGATTCTGATTTTTAACTGTCTTCTTGTTTAATAGAAGTGTTCTTTTTGCTTTTCTTTGTATTATTACTTTTTGGCTGTGCTGAGTCTTCAATGCTTTGCGCCAGTTTCTCTAGCTGTGGAGAGCAGTGTGCAGGCTTCTCAGGC